TATTCAATATTTTTTAAAATATTTTATTAATATTAGTCTCTAAATCTCTTTAATATCCATGTTTTTTTTTGTTTTAATTTTCTTTAATACTCGTTTTCTATGGGCTTAAATTATCATTGTTTTGAAAATAAAGAATTTTACATTACTTTTCAGAGTATAATAGAATTGTTGGTTTGGTATCAACTTTATAGTACTTTTAGGGTAAATTACACGTTTAGTATATAAATTATCAACTTTGATCCTTTTTAGTACCAAACTTTCATTTTTTTCAAAATCATATATAATGTTTAGTTTTTGTTTCATTTTAGTACCCGCCATTAAAAACTTAACGGACGGGCTGACGTGGCATAGCTCTGGTGGACAGACAACCAATCCTAATGGTGGACCAAGAGAGAATGATAAGTCAACAAACATAGTTCATTTTCATGCCCATCGGACGGTAGACCATAGAGATTAGAGGATGAAGAAATCAAAGAGTTTATTGTCAATTTGGGGATATTGAGACGTTTTCCGGTGAAACGGAAGCCGAAATCGTGTTCAAGGGGTCGAAAAAGGTGAAGACTAGAAGGTTTGAGCTTTATTAGCTGACGGATGCGACGGCCGACGATTGTATTGAGTTTATAACGGTGGGTACTAAAATGAAAGAAAAACTAAATGTTAGGAATGATTTCAAAAAAATGAAAATTTAGGTACTAAATACGCGTTTTACCCTTTTTAAAAAATATAATAAAAAATTGTTTTCAGACTATTTATTTTAAAATTTAAGAGTTTATTATAAGGTCGGAGAGGGTGCCAAATGTCAAAGCTGCCCGACAGAGTGAGTTAGGGGACCCTACAACATTCCTTATGGCACAAAAATAAAGTGATGGAGACATTATAACATATTGTATAACACCTATCATATGGTCGCATTTGTCCTCTAAAAGTCCCAATCCAAAATGACTTTAACTTTAAATGTCCATTGTCAATAAATTTTATTGAATTGTTATAAAAAATTATTATATTTATTGTATTTTTTTAATAATTATTTTATAATATTGAATAATTTTAATAATTATTTATAATTTTAAAATATTTTTTTATTTTTATTTTTATTAATCCATGATAAATACAAAGAAATATCTTTGGGTACTCGAATCCGAAATCTTAAAAAATAAAAAAATAAAATTATTATTGAGATCACTTGATTCGTATAATTTAAAATAGCTGTCGAAATATAATTCGATAAATTTTCGATATAATCTAAACTTTCATGATTGATACGTGTGCTTTTTGCCAACTTTCCGGCTTGTACTTTTCCTCTATTTTGCGTGATTCATTTGGGTTTCATTTTCAAGTGTATATGCCCTTTTCTTACTCTTAACTTGACTCCTTTTCCATCCTCCCTAACTTTCGAGAATCTACTTATATTGTTATAATTATATTATTATAATATATATAATATAATTTTATTTTAATAATATATAATAAATTAGTAATACAATTAATATTATTTATTAATTTCATAAAAATAATATTATTGAATTATTTGAATATTTAATATATACTCTTTAAAATATAATAAAATATAATATTCATATTTTAATATTATAATTTTTAATGTTTTAATAATATTATTATTTTAATATATAATTAATATAATTAATAATATATGGTTCTTATTTTAATAAATAATTAATATAATTTATAATAATTTTATTTTAAAGAAATATAACAATCGTAATATTTTATTTATAAAGTTGTATATAATATTTTAATAATAATATTGAAATAAATAATATTAAATATATTATTCTAATATTTTTAAAAATATTATTGCTATTTTGTACTAAAATGATAAAATGATAACCAGGATGTAAAGAAGAAGCAAAACCAAGATGTAAAACTTAAGAAGAAGAAGAGGTGACAGGTTGATGCACGTGGACATTTTTTAGAAAAAAATAATTTTCACGTAATAATTTTGTTAATAGGTTAACGGATATTAACGGTTGAAAGATTAGAATCAAACAGATCGATAACATAAGGGACCAAGCGCGCTTAATTTTTGAATAGATGACCAAAGTCGGTCGGATCGAAAGTAAATAGAACTATTCGCATAATTTACCCTTTTTTATTTATGTTTTAGTTTATATTTAATATTTAAGAATTTTCATTTTAATAATATATCTTTTACCTATATTAAATAATAATTGATATCGTAATTCAATTATTTTCATCTTTTAAAAATCCATTGAGAAAAGATATTTTTTCTAATGATTACATAACGTTATCTTATGATGACACATCAACATCATCGTAAAATTTTTAACGGTGAAGTATCAAAATGAAACCTAAATTAAACGTTAGGAATGATTTTGAGAAGATTAGGTACCAAAACATAACAAATGTAATAGTTTAGGTATAAACGTGTAATTTATCCTTTATTTTATTCTTAATAAATATAACCAAAAACTTATAACATAATTATATTATAAACAAAAAATATATGAATTTGACTATGATATAGATTTAAAAGTATGATTTTCTTATTTTTAAAAGAATATTAATTATAAATTTATGATTATAGTTTAATTTTAAATGAAGTTGAAAGGTTATAATCTACATTTGTTGAAAGGTTTGATTTTAAAAGAAGCATGCTCAGGTGAAACATATACTTGATTCATGTTCAAGAGGTAAAATAGGGTAGCTCACATACTTGTACATCGGGCTTTGTCGAATCCCAATTCGTTTTGATTTTTCTATGACGAACCGGATTGTATTAAGTCTGTTATCATTCTTGATGCCATTAGAATGTAATTCAATCCACCTTTTAAAAAAGAGGCAAAAAAGGAAATAACTAAAATTTTTGAGGTCCAAAAATCGTCGAAGACAATGGTCGATGATGATTATCGATGATGGTGGTGAGTGACGACCGAGGATGGGAGACTCTGTTTGAGTTCAGGGGTCATTTTGATATTTTATATAAAGTATAGGGGTTAAACTGATACTTCATCTAAAGTTCAAAGTCAAATTAGTATTCTATTTAAAGTTCACGAGTCAAACTAAAACCTAACATATTTTTTGACTAACATGACACATCATCGAACTAACAAGAAATAACGGCTTAGTGATCAAAATATAACAATCGATAACGTAAGTGGATAAAATTTAATAAATTGATAATGTAAGTGATTAAAATATAATTTTTTAAAATTTAGTGAACAAAGGTGTACAAATATAAAAGGAAAGTAATTAATTTATTATTATTATTATTATTATTAGTTGACCCTTATTCCCATATGTAATTGGGTAAGGGGGAGGTAAGATAGTAAGCTACTCCAACACTAGGTTGAGAGCATCTTCCGTGGGAGACCTCCAAATTTAATAGTTTACCCTTAATCGTAATTATTTTCTATTTATCCAGGATAAGTATAAGATAATATTTGTTCAAAGATAACTCTCAACTATTTGACAGTGAAAACTCATACTCCTGACATTCCAAGTACTCGAACCCGAGACCTCAATAAATAACAACGAATTAAATGATCGCAGTGGTTAAATAGATGGTTTTTATTCTTTAAAAAACTCGGGTTTAAGCACCAACGATTGCTGGGTATTTGATCATTCATTGTCAAATTATTCAACGTCTTTAAAATTAACAAAAATAATTAACTCTTTAATGTAATTAAATTAAGATTTCATAAAAATGAGAGTAAATATCAAATTATTCTTCATTGGTTAAAAGTTTTCAAAGCCAAATGATTACACTTTTGATATTTTGGGAAACAATATCTTGATATTTTCTCTAATTAATACTCTTATTTTTATTAACCGTTTATTTCATAATTTATATTTAAATTAAATCTTAACGATGTAATTAGTAATAAAATAACAATCAATATTTAATTCATTATAACTCTCTGTGGAAAAATGAAAATTTTGATGTTATGAGTAAAAATAATTAAATTTGGAGAGTTCCTCTCATAATATATTTATAATATTTGATATAAATAAGTTGATTAATAAATTGAATATTGATAATTCTATTAAAATAAAGAATAAAACACAACACATGTCACTAAACTACGTCCGAATGATTATTTTGGATATTGAACTTTCAAAAGTTATAAAATAGTCATTAAATTTATCGAACTGTTATAAGATGATGATTAGATTTTATCGAATTATTACAAAATGATCATTGAATTTTATCAAACTATTATAAATTGATCATTAAATATTATTGAATTGTTATAAAATTATTATTAAATTTATTGAAATTTTACAAATATTGTAACATTGCAGACTTTAGGGAGATGGACTGAAATGAAGGCAAGTGGGGCAATCGATCGGTTGCCCTCAAAAATATTTAATTCTCATATATTTTAGATATATTTTTTTATTTTCTATAAATAATATATTTTTGTCCATCTTAAAAATTTTATAAGTTTATCGCACTTAAATAAAATTCATCACTTTTAACATAAATCACACGTCCTTCTATGATTACGATGATCTTTTTATAATAGTTTAATAAATATAATGATCATTTTATAAAAATTCAATAGTCAAACTGATCATTTAAACATAGTTTAACTACCTCATGTATAACTTGCCCTAAAATAAGAACAACCATAAAAATATATTTTGTTTTTATTTATATCTGGGTAAACTACATGTTTAGTATCATAACTATTACTTTTGTTTTATTTTGGTCATTCAACTATTTTTTTTAAAATATACCTAACATTTAGTTTTGGTTTCATTTTGGTCATATGTCGCTAAAAATTTAATGGTGATATTGACGTGTCATCATAAGATAATGTCAAATCATCAAATGTAACGTTAGATATGATTTTGAAAAAAAAATTGGTGACCAAAACGTAACATATGAGATAATTGGGGCAATAAACGTGTAGGTTACCCTTTTCATTTTTTGGATTCTATGTACGTGTGCGTCAGTGCGTGTGTGTGTATATATATATACACACATTAGTGGATGTTTGTGCTTAAAGAAGAAACGCAGAGGGAGATCAGTTACCGAGTCATCACTTTCCAGCACCAAACATCAAAACGAATTTGCTTCTTAAAAAAAAAACTAGATTTTACGTCTGTTTGATCATTTGCCAAAAACCCAGAAATTCTCCATTAGTGGGAATCAAACTTCATTGATTGTGCTACGTTTTGACATCGAATTCAATAACAAAATCACATACAACAAATAAAAAAGAAGAAGAAGGTTTAATCCCCAATCAGCAACCATATGGCGTTCATCGATATATTTGCGGAAGAAGATAAACACGGAGACCAACAAGAGGAGACTGTTTGGCTCTTCTCCGAAGAAGGGAAAGAAGAGCCAAACATGGTGGAAGAGAGCGGAGATGAACCCGAGGGTGATAAGTTGACTGTTAAAATCCCTGAAACTGCTCATCAAATAAGCACTGGTGAATTTCTAATTCTGGGTTTTTGTTTAATTTGATCGCAACGCCTTGCTTAATTCTACGATTTTGTTTCTATCATTGTCTTCGTATGGACTTGGGATCGCATATCTTGTTGCATTTCAACGCTTTTTCTTGTTCTTCCTCGTATTGTGTTGTATTTTGCTGCTACACGATTTTCTCTTCTTTGTTCGTGGCATTTTCATACTGTTTTGGGGTTTTTCTGGGAGGTTTCACTGTAATCTACAGCGATTTAAATTACGATTGCGGCGTTGACATATCAAGAACTATTACACTGATTGCGGTTATATAATGGGTGATATTTAAATCCTTGGTTATGATCACTTTGGAATTATCGTGGTTGCAGCCGTTGCAGACATGACGGATGCTACTATGATATGACGGATGCTATTATGATAAGCCGCGCCCCCTAATGTAAATTGTAATAATTTTAATTATTGTAGCAGACTGTTGATTTTTCCGTCGTTGGATGATTTTTCTGTAATCAAGGGTGGACCGAGGGAAGCTGACTTCCTTAAAAATTATGAATTTCCAAATAATTTAAGTATTTTTTTTGGTAATTTTCATTGATAATATATTTTCTCTCTTAGAATTATCCGGTCCATTCCTGCTTGTAGTAATTAAGTTCATCAATGGCCTCTTGTGTGAGTTCTGATCTGATGAGGCTCTGGTTTCCGGTTTGTCCTTTTGTTGTGGCTTTCCAGATTCATGGTTCCAGGCAAGTTTCGTCTTGACCACTGGTATCAACAGTGTATTCGTCTTGGGATATTCCGGTACCATCATGGTCCCTCTCGGCTGGGTCGGAGGTGTAGTCGGTTTGCTTCTAGCCACCGCGATATCGCTGCATGCGAACATTCTTGTTGCCAAGCTCCACGAATTCGAGGGAAAGCGGCATATCCGATACCGAGAACTTGCGGCTCAAATCTACGGTACGAGTTGCCTGATTAACGTTTGATGTTCTTCGTTATCTATTTTGATTGTTGTTTGATTAGCATATCGTTTTCAACAGGCAGGGACGCTTATTACGTTACATGGGCGTTGCAATATGTCAATCTGTTCATGATCAACCTCGGATATCTCATTTTGGGTGGTTCCGCTTTAAAGGTAAGATCCGATCCGGATATCCGCAAGACGATTTGAATATAGTCTGCGATTCGGGACTCTGTAACATACGCATGTGTGATGCAGGCTTGTTATGTTCTTTTCAACGAAGAGCATACGATGAAGCTTCCGCACTTTATTGCCATCGAAGGACTCGTGTGTATCCTGTTTGCTGTTTTGACGCCGCATCTGTCATCGCTAAGAATATGGTTAGGATGTTCGACTGTTCTCAGCTTGATATATATCGTCGTGGCGTGTGTGCTGGCAACTAATGACGGTAAGTTCGAACACACTGAAGTGGTAATTGAATCGTCGACGGAAATAGTTAACGGTTAACCTCGAAGTGAATCACTTTTACGACTTAGGGTCGAATGCTGCAGTCTAATCATTCTTTTGAGTAGACCAAAATATTGATCCATGTTTTAAGTTTGACCCATAAGAAGCTTTTAATCTTCATTTTTATGGCGTTAATGGTTCTCATGCTGTTATAGGATTGAATGCGCCGCCCCGAGATTATACCGTACACTGGGAATCGACCACCGACAGAATTTTTACAACCATCGGGGCATCTGCGAACCTTGTTTTTGCATTCAATACCGGAATGCTTCCTGAAATACAGGTTAGCGGATTATATCCGGTTGTATTTTTATCATTAGCATATTTCTTGGAACTTAAATAGAAGGATTTAGCTCTAACGGATTCGTTATGTTTCAACTCGTCGATGTTCGTTTGCCGTCGCCTTCTGAACATTTTTCTCTATAAAAGGCAACAGTGAGGCAACCTGCAGTGAGGAATATGATGAAAGCTTTGTACTTTCAGTTCTCTGTCGGAGTTGTGCCGATGTATGCCGTTACTTTTATCGGCTACTGGGCTTACGGGTCTTCAACACCTACATATTTACTTAACAGTACCAGCGGCCCTGTTTGGGTGAAGGCTGCTGCAAACCTGTCCGGCTTCCTGCAATCGGTTATTGCTTTGCATGTAAGTATTCTTAGTTGTATTTCATGGTTTTGGAAAACGCCTCGACGAACCCTGATCGCCTCCCTCATCGCCGCAGATATTCGCAAGTCCGGCTTACGAGTATTTGGACACAAAGTTCGGAGTTCACGGGAGTTCATTGAAACTGAAAAACATAGCCTTCAGAACTGCAGCGAGAGGCAGCTACCTTCTTGTGAGTACGCTGGTGTCGGCTCTCCTGCCTTTCCTCGGTGATTTCGAGACCCTCACCGGAGCATTGAGCACGTTCCCCCTTACGTTCATCCTCGCGAACCACATGTACCTTGTGGCGAAGACGAAGCAGAACAAATTGAGTTCCCCGCGACGTTTCTGGCATTGGGTCAATGTCGGTTTCTTCGGTCTCATGTCTCTTGCAGCAACGATCGCCGGTATAAGGCTCATTGCCGTGGATTCCAAGGCGTATCATATATTCGCCGATGTTTGAGTAGTCGTCGGTTAAGAATAGATGAAGATGATGCGGTTGCAGACGTCAGAATTCGAACTCTTCGAGACTTCGAAGATTCCTCTCGAATCATTATTTTCATTCCGAGAGTTGTGTTCTTTTAACTTGCAACCACTGATTCAACTAGGTGTCGAATAAGAGTTGATATAGTATTAGTTGGCATAGTATCGTTGAGAGTAGCTTTAATACTATGAAGAGTGTTTATAAATAATGGTAAAACTTTTTTTTAATAATTTATTTAAGCGGTATCGGAGTGTTATTAAACTCGATCGTTCAATTATGTTTTAAACTCGTCATTTTTCTTTAAAAAATTAACGGCCGTCTGAATTTGATGTTGACATGTTAAGTGAGGTATGGTAGTTTTGAGATTATGAAATCAGATTTTATCATGTCTCATATTTACGACAAAACAACTGTTTATAGTCGAGGGACTCACCAAAGCAACTCTTTATAGTCGGGAGATCATTTTATAACATTTAGTAATTAAGGGACTCAATAAAATATTATCCTACAGTCGAGAGACTATTTGTGTATTTTACTCTAAAATTAATGATATAACATGCCATGTTAGACGTTTGTGTAATTTGCCCCAAGAACAATGAACAAAATGCTAAGGCCCAAATCCAAACGCATATATTAATTGGGCTTACGTACATAAATTTCAGCCAGTTTATATAAATTCCCCAAATCTTTAGCGCTTATAATTAGGGTTTAGGTCTCCGCCTCACAGCCACCTCTACCAGAATCCAAAGGATTGAAAAGAAAAGCTCCAGCTTCCGAAAATGGTGAAGGGACGCCAAGGAGAGCGAGTCAGGTCTGGTTTGATCTTTCCATCAACCCTTTTAAAACCCTAATTCTCCTTTTCGTTTTCTGATTTTGAGCATATGGAATGGAATTTTAGTTCATAGATTTCACTTACTGTTTTCCATTTTCGTTTTCAATTAATATTTTTAATCCCTTTTAACTCATTATTTGCAGGCTTTATGTAAGAGGAACTATCTTGGGTTACAAGAGGTAATGAAACCTTAAAACATTTTTGTATTACTTCAAGCACCATTTTTTTAGGAACTAGAGAAAAATCTTAAATAAGTTGAATATTTTACGAGTATTTTGAGTAAAATGAGCTTGGTGTAATCTGTTTGGAAAAGAAAGTTTAGCATTCTATATTGGAATTAGTGTTTTGCAACAAAGGGTGTGGTTGAATTTCTATGTTTTGTGTTGGGGGATTGAAATTAATTTCTTTTGTAAACTAAATCATGAAACAAAGGGTTTGATTGAATTTTGGAGTGATGCTTATGATTCGTTTGGTGCCGGTTGGCATTAGGTCGAAGTCAAACCAGTACCCGAACACTTCACTGATCCAGATCGAGGGAGTTAACACCAAGGAGGAAGTTGCTTGGTATGCCGGCAAGCGAATGGCCTATATCTACAAGGCTAAGGTGAAGAAGAATGGCTCGCACTATCGCTGCATTTGGGGCAAGGTAGCCAGGCCTCATGGTAACAGCGGTGTTGTTCGTGCTAAGTTCAAGTCTAACCTTCCCCCCAAATCTATGGTAATTGAGTTATATCTTTGTCGATTAACGGGCGTATGTATACTGTGCTTTTAGTCTTACATGTATCTCTTGGCTCCTTTGCAGGGAGATAGAGTTAGAGTCTTCATGTACCCCAGCAACATTTGAGGTAATGTTGATTCCCCAGTTTATGATCTTTCTTAGTTAATTTCTGGCTTGTTTTTGTTTGTATACAAGGAATGACAGCATCGATAACGTTTCACATTAACATTTAATCAAACGGTATAAGCAGTTTTACTAAGTTTCCCAGCTTTTGTCCGTTACCGTGTTCTTGTGTTCTTGATTGCTGCTAGAAGCTTATTTATGCCTCGTTTTAGTGATATTATGCTTTCCCGTTTGTGATAACATTTTGAAAACTAATTACTAATTTTTTCTTTTGTCGAATTGAAACAATTTGTCCAAGCTCCCTAATGTTATATTTTTTTTCTCTCTGCTGTTGTCTCTAGATGCTTATCGCCATTCGGTTGACAGATCCAAGTGACTCTCGCCTTCCTAAACTTTGTCAAAATTTCGTATGTTGTTTCTTCTCTTTACTACGGTAGATGAAACTCTGCTTTTGTCTGAATATTTCTTTTATCTCGGATTTTTATACATTTTTGTTTCTTGACTTTGAAGTTTTGGTTAGTCAATTATTCATGGAACTGAACAGCAAGTTTTGAACTTCATGGAGATTGCATATTATTATAATTTGTTAGCTTTCGGATGATTAAATATGTTTTCGACCTGTTCGTATTAGCCCCGATACATGCGTTTGAGGTCTGATTCATGGTAGTTCAATCTATGGACAAGTCTAGTTGAAGTTTTTCAAGATTTTTTTTGAAATTTCAAGCTGATAAAATGTTTGACAATATCAACATGATGATGATAATTTAGGAGTTTACAACATAATTGTTATGTACTTCTAATTCAAGTGAATTACATCTTACATAAAGCATGCACGTGGACGCAATAAATTGAACAAAAAGAACACTCAAGTAAATGACTTGCTTTTATTTTTAGGGTAAATTGCACTGTCCTCACTCTACTTTACTTTCCTATTTTGCTCACCGAACTTTCAATTTTTTTAATTTGCTCATTAAATTTTACAGATTGAATTATTTTGCTCATTCTGTTATTAATTTTTTAACGGCATTATGATGTGACAGAAGAATTTAAACGACGCTGTTTTTAAAAACTTAAATATGCACTAAAACGAAATCATTTTGGTGAGTAAAATATGAGATAAAGTTAAATGATTGATGGTGTAATTTACCCTTTTTCCTAATGACTCATGGTGTAATTTACCCCTTTTTCGTCTCTTCTTCATTTTCTCTTCGTCGGCCACATCATTTTCATTTCGGCCACTGTCAGCCGTCGTAGATGGTGATCGTTCGATCCCAAAATGTGATGGGTCAGTTCGTCTCGAATCCTTGAGTCTGGATCTGGTGGTTGTTTCACCAAAAAATGTCCTAAAACCCGTGTATTTGGATTGAAATGTTTCGGTTTTCTCATTTTCGAAAAAATGTAGGTTGGATTCGAACTCACGACGTCGAAGCAAAGCGACCCATCTCATTTTGGGACCAAATGACCACTATCTACGGCGTCCGACGTTGACATCCAATCACCTTATGTTTTTATTTTATTTTTTAATTATTTTATATTAAATAATAATAAAAAATACATCAGAGAAAACGGGAGAGTGAGTAAAATGATTCAATTTATAAAGTTCAGTGAGCAAATTAGAAAAATTGAAAGTTGGGTGAGCAAAATAAGAGAGAGTAGAGTGAGGAAAATTGTAATTTACCCTTATTTTTATTTATTTAATTCTATTAAAAAAATTTAAGATTTATCATTGACTACATAATAGTCCTTGACTATAGGATGATTTATTATTGAGTCCTTCGCAATTAAAAGTTACATAATGCTATTTGATTATAGGGTGTTGATTTTTTGAAGTTATAAAATGGTCACTTAATTATTTATATATTTTAAATTTTCCTTTTTCCGTTAAAAGATAAACAAATGTATGAGATGTATGTTATCATGATTATTGAAATATAATAAAATCATATTTTAAAGATAATGTTTTCAAGCACTGATTTAATGACATATTGTTTAAAGCATCTTGACAAATATAATGTAAAAGGAGAGCTGGTCCAAAAAATATAACTTAGAACGGTTTTGAGATTAAATTTTATCATATTTTAATCAACAAGTTAATTCAATTCAGACGAACGCCAATATTTTCATAGAAAATGAAGAGTTTGAAACATATAAGTCGTTGGGCGACTATTTTATCATTTATTTTTTTCATGTATTAAACATGATTCATTTAATAATTACATCACAAATATAATGAAAAATAAATACATATTTTAGGATAATTTATTACAATTATCTGTCTTTACATATAAAATCTTAAAACCGTTTTACTTTATCTTTTTAAATCTCAAAGACTTACAAGTCTATGGAATCAGCTGATTACCTTGGGATTGGATATGGATCGGCCGTGGCTGCTCGGAGGAGATGTTAACGTGATTGGGAGCTGCTCGGAAAGACATGGCGGCTCTCAACGTCGAGTAGGGATTAGCCGAAAATTCACCTGGAAGCGTGGGACGCTTATGCAGAGGTTGGACCGTTGCCTTTGCAATTCGCGGTGGACTGGTGTGTTTCCTCATTCAGTAGTGTACCATCTTCAGTGAATTGGTTCCGATCACCGACCACTACTGCTTGACATGGGAAGGTCACAGAGGGTGCCTCGTATTCGACCTCTTAGATATATTGATGCTTGGAGCGAGCACCCAAATTTTCGAAGCTTTCTTTCGGAGGTTTTGTTGAGCTCTTACGAACAACCAAAAATGAGACAAAAGGGGGTGAATTGGTTTTTTGAGAAAAAGAAAGTAAAGTGTTAAAAAGTATGAAAATCGGCACAAGGATTTATAGTGGTTCGACTTCTCAACCAACGAAGTCTACATTCACTACCTTAGCTCCTCACTTGGGATTTTCCAACAAATCACTAATTTGTTATTTGTTTTTTAAGGATCAAGAGTAACATTTACAACTCCCTATCTTTTCAATGGTTAAGATATAACCAAATCCCTTTTACAAAGGAAACAAAGATGTAAACAAGAAAATCTCTTAATGTATGTGTTACAAGGTTTTAAGCTCACAAAAACAAAATCTAAAGATAAATAATTAAGCTCAAAACACAAATAGTTCCAAAAGAAAGAAAATAAAGATTGAAATTTTTTTCATTTGGATAAGTGTTGGTAATATTCTTCAAGTGTCTTGAACTTCATTTTATATGTTGGAATGAGTTTATGGATGTTTCTAGTTATTGGGAATGTTTTGGAGCCATTGAAAACCTTAATTTTGAGCATTAAATGCTCACCTGCACGTTGGGTCTCGATATCGGGACATTGGTCTTGATAACGAGCCTTCCAACAATCAAATTTATAACTTTTGAACCTCAATATCGATACAGCTTGAATCTGTATCGATACCCACTCTTCGGTCTAGAGGCTAAAGCCTTGGTATCGAGACCAAAAACCCATTTTGGAATTTCGTTCTCGAGACTACCATGTTGGTCTCGAGACTGGCTGACATTGGTCTCAAGACTGACAGGGGGTTTTGGCTAATTTCAAGAGTTTTTGAGTTTTAAAACAATATTTAAAAGTTTGTCAAAGAAAACAATTAGAACATATTTTTCAAATTTCTTTGGACCTTGAATTATTTTTGAAAATTTTGAATAAATTTAATTTAATCTAAAAATATTTTACCTTTATTTGTTATATCAAAATATGGGTTCAACAGGTTTGGACCGGAAATGAGAGCATTATAGAGGAAATTCGAAACTTCCAAAACAAGAGTCGTGATTGGAACTACAACACGTTTGGACATATTGGTCGAAGGAAGAATATTTTGATGGCTCGGGTTAGGAAGATTGAGAGTCTAGTGGAAGGTTCGGATGATAATTTCTTATTGGAGCTCGAAGACAGGTTGAACCGTGAGCTCAATTGGGTCATGGCGTTGGAGGAAAGCATTTGGCATCAACGGGCGAGAAGTAATTGGATTGCGAAAGGGGACTTGAATACCTCTTTTTTCCGTACTTCGACTATGATGAGGAGTCAACATAATGAAATCAGCATGCTTCAGCTCCAAGATGGTAGTTGGTGTTCTGAAGGAACCTCTCCCGTAACCATGCGGTGAATTTCTTTCGTGGACTTTTTGCTAGTGAGGGTATCTCACCTGGTGGGGAGTCTGCAAGGAGGAGTTCATTTCACTGGTTTAGGGTCGATGAGCTTCGGGTTCTTTTATAGGTTATTTCAGTAGAGGAAGTTCATGGTCTGTGTGCGCTCAGTGTCGACAAGAATTCCTATGGAATGGGGAGTTAACGGAGTCATTCAAGCCAACTAGAGGACTTCGACAAGGAAACCCGCTTTCTCCTTATCTCTTTGTTCCTTGCATGGTCGCACCTGATTGAAGCAAGGATTGCCACGGGGAAGTGGAAGCCAATTCATCTATCCAGGAATGGTCCGGGATTGTCTCACCTTTTGTTTGCAGATGATCTTGTTCGCTGAGGCCGATTCACCGTAATGCTCCATAATTAAAGATGTCATCGCAGAGTTCTGTATGGCTTCAGGTCACAGAGTTAGTGCTGCAAAAACTCAAATTTATTTCTCCAAAAATTGTTCGCCGGGTGTTTAGGAGTCTATTGCTGACCGATTTGGATACGAGGAAGTGAATGATTTAGAGAAGTACCTTGGGGTTCCTCTGCTCCATAATCAACTAAATCAACTTATGCGTGCCTCCTGAATAAAATGAATCAAAGACTTTCGGGGTGGATGGCTAAATCTTTGTCGCTAGCTGGACGTGTCACTCTGGCTAAATCGATCCTTCAAGCTATTCCAGGTTATGCCATGCAATCATCTTGGCTTCCGAAAGGGCTCTGTGATAACATGGAGGGGATCATCCGAAGGTTTATATGGGGTTCGCAACATCAAGAAAAGGCCTTGCTCTAGTGAGGTGTGTTGAGTGAATGATGTAAGCTCACGTGAATGAAGAGTGCTTGTGTAATGTCATACATGGGAGCAGGATTGTAGCTGATGGATATAGCTTGCATACCTGTCAAGTCTGTTAGGAAACTATTCTAGAAGTTGTTAGTTTGTTAAAGTTTGTTATTAATTTACTATAAGTAATTAGCTTAGGTGATGTATAATTCAAGCTTAATGAAAATACTTCTGATATTCTGTTTGATTCAAGCTTTATTTTCTGCAATACTCAACATGGTATCATTCGCCAAACGGTCCTGACTTTATTTTTCTTCCGCTGCATGGAGTTGTGGCGAACGAAAATACAGAGGAGAAGATCTCGAAGATCACCAATGGCATCTCCTGCGCCAGAGGAAACCCAGTCTCCTCCTCATGGCCAGGACAAGTTTGTCCAGGTCGAAGGCGGTTTCGCCTGTGCCCTTGATCTGGTTAAACATATTAGAGCTAAATATGGTGACTACTTTGGCATAACGGTTGCCGGTTATCCAGAGGCTCATCCCGATGCTATAAGAGTTAACGGTGTAGCAACACCAAAAGCTCATCAGAACGATCTTGTTTACTTGAAGAGAAAGGTTGATGCAGGAGCTGATCTGATTGTTACTCAACTGTTTTATGATGAGATTACTGTTTCCTTAGAGCCTATCAAGGACAACGATGAAGCTGTCAAAGCCTATGGGATTCACCTTGGAACAGAAATGTGTGGCAAAATTTTAGCTAATGGGGTTAAGACGTTACACCTTTACACGTTAAACATGGAGCAGGATCACATCTTGAAAGCTAATGGTATGGTCAATTGTTAAGAGTTTTTTGAGTAGTTTGTTTACATTTAGAGTTTGCCGGGAGTTTAATTTCTTGTTGTCATTGAAACAAATTTGTAATAAGTATGATACTATAGTCCTTTAAAAAAAATGTCAAGGAATCTTGTATAAGAGGATGAAGAAGGAAGAAATGAAGGTGAAAAAGAAGAACGAAAGAATGCATCGCACTTCCGATTCAAGTTGAACGGAGGGAAGCGTCGGCACTTTCGATTCAAGTCGAACGGAGGGAAGCGTCGGCACTTCCGATTCAAGTCGAACGGAGGGAAGCATCGGCACTTCCGATTCAAGTCGAACGGAAGGAAGCATCAGCACTTCCGATTCAAGTTGAACGGAAGGATGTATCGCACTTTCGATTCGAGTGTTCATCTTTTCATCAAGAAGATTGAGAAAGTAGGGAGAATGTTGAGTGAATGATGTAAGCTCACGTGAATGAAGAGTGCTTGTGTAATGTCATACATGGGAGCAGGATTGTAGCTGATGGATATAGCTTGCATACCTGTCAAGTCTGTTAGGAAACTATTCTAGAAGTTGTTAGTTTGTTAAAGTTTGTTATGAATTTACTATAAGTAATTAGCTTAGGTGATGTATAATGCAAGCTTAATGAAAATACTTCTGATATTCTGTTTGATTCAAGCTTTGTTTTCTGCAATTCTCAACAAGGTGGGATACAATGATAAGACCGACGGTTGATGGTGGTTTGGGGATGAAGAATTCGTTTCACCAGAACAAGGCTTTCCTTATGAAAACAACATATTAGCTGGTCACTAATTCCTACGCTTTATGGGTAAGGATTATCCAAGCAAAATATAAGTGGGATGAAGTTCTTCCTTTGAGCCTTGGGGGCGTTAATGGGTCTAGGTTGTGGAAGGGGCTTCGTTGTATTTGGCATGATTTCACAGAGAGTATCGCTTGGAGTCTGGCCATCTACGAAAGGATGCGTATTTCACTTTTGTATATGCGAGTGTCCTTGATCATGAAGAAAGTCTTTGGTACCGAAAGTCTAGGTGTAATTGGTTTCTGAATGGAGATAGGAATGCAAAGTTTTACCATGCATATGCTAAGCATAGATAAAGGGTGAATTATATTTCTTCATTACGTATGGATAATGGAGAATGGTGTTCGGATCAGGTGGTGCTCCTACGTTTGGCGGTAGATTTCTTCTCAAGGCTCTTCACTAGCTCGTTGGATTGTGGTTACACTTATCATGTGCGGGGCCTTTTCCCGGCTTTGAGTTCGACTGATGTGCAATATTTGGCTCAGGAAGTAACTCTAGAGGAAGTCAAATCTGCAATTTTCTCCATGAATTCGTCTAAAGCTCCCGGAGATGACGGTTTACATGCTTTAATTCTACCAACAGAACTGGGACAATATGTACCTTCAGTTTATCAGCTTGTGCGGAGTTGTTTTGTAGAAGGTACGGTCCCGAGAGAGATACATCACACTTTGTTGGTCCTCATTCTGAAGATCTTTTCTCCTGAGAATTTCACCCAGTTCATGCCGATTAGCCTTTGTAATGTCATGTTCAAGGCCATTGCAAAGGTTCCAGTGAACAGATTGAAGCCGTATATTCCTACCTGGCCATTACAAGTTTTGTTCAAGGGGTATTCGGCAAGGAGACCCTTTGACTCCGTATCTCTTTGTTCTCTGTATGGGGCGTTTGTCGCAGGCAATTCAAAGTAAAGTCCAGACAAATGAATTCAACTTTCTCGAGGAGGACCAAAACTTTCACACCTATTTTTCACCGATGATCTCTTTGTGTTATGGATATGGCGGAAAATGGGGAGTGGAGATGGGAGATTCTTGACTCACTCTTCCCGAGTATGGTACTTCACTACATTAGGGGCATCAAGGCGCCGACTGAAGATGGAGGTCCTGACGTTCCCTTATGGAGATGGGACTCGCAGAGGAGTTTTACGGTTAAAAGTGCATATACCAGTAGATGCTGGGCGATGGGGCATGTGGAGCAATCTTTGTCGTGGAACCCCATTAACTCCTTTAGGGACCTGCCACGGATCAAGCTGCTCTTATGGCTGTTTTATAAAAATTTAAATACTTTAAATACTTATTTTGACAAAAAAATAATTTTAGGTACTTATAATGACAAAGAAATACTTTAACTACTTAAATGAAAATGAATACATACTTTAAATACTTATTTATAAGCCGATAAATATCGATAATTATTCGAGATTAATTAATATTAATCCCCTCGATGAATAAATTAAAAGAAAATACAAAAGCGTTTACCTTCTCTTCTTTAAAATCCTTCTTGCATTTCTATTTTTATTATCATTCTTCTCTCAATGAACTTTGCAGAGAAATGTCCACATTCTTTCCCTTTTATCTTCTTCAAAAACCTGATATTTCCCCCATTTTTAGTCAAAATCCTAATTTTTCTTCTGTTTTCAGTACCTTGATTTGGTAATGGGGAGCCTGAAACCTTGAATTAGAGCCTCGGAAGCTAATTTCATCAAATTATTCCCCCAAAATCCATCTTTTTTGACAAGAAAAGAACCCTATATTTTCCCAGATCCACCTTCGTATAATTCCAATTTTCAAAACCCGGTGTTTTTTCAAGATACCCAAATCCTCAAAGCATCAAAAAATGAAAACTAATTCGAGATTCTTCACGATCGGGCTGGTGACGTCCTGGTACTCATCAAACATTGGTGTTTTGTTGTTGAACAAATATTTGCTGAGCAATTACGGCTTCAAATACCCAATCTTCTTGACCATGTGTCACATGTCGGCTTGTTCTTTGTTGAGCTACGTCGCGATTGCATGGATGAAGATGGTCCCCATGCAGACGATTCGATCCCGGGTTCAGTTCCTGAAGATCTCGGCCTTGAGCCTGGTCTTTTGCGTGTCGGTGGTGTTTGGGAACATCTCTTTGAGGTTCCTTCCGGTGAGTTTTAACCAGGCCATCGGCGCTACGACGCCGTTCTTCACGGCGGTCTTCGCTTACTTGATGACGTTGAAGAGGGAGGCTTGGCTTACATATGTTACCCTCATCCCCGTTGTTACTGGGGTCATCATCGCCAGTGGGGTATGTATTTTAGCTAATCTTTGGCTTTTATTTTCTTGGTTTGATAGGATTTTGATTTAGTTTTCCTTCGACTTTGTTGAAGCTTGTGTTGGTTTGGTTGCTTAAATTTCTATTGGAAATGTTAGATTCGTTAATGTGTATGTGTTCGTGGAGAATTTGGATGGAATGTGGAAAGGATTTGCTTTATTTTTTATTGAATTATGTTGGATTTATATGTGTCGAATTCGAATTGATAATATAGATAGGGCAATAATGTGGGAATCTGATGCTAATCCCCTCTATTTGAATTAGGCTAATATGAATATTTTGATGTGATATGAAAGCTTCAAGCTTCAAATTATTCTCTAGTTGATCATTTGCGGCACGGAAAGGTTACGAATACGAGTAGAAGTATAAGCTAGAAGCATAGAATTATGATCCAAGTTATTTGGTTTAGGTTCTATTCAATTGCTGAAACATGCAAGAATTATGATCATTTGCGGCGTTTTTAGCTAAATTCAGAGGTTTTTAAATCATAATTATCGCAATCTGTGGATTATCTTTTTCCTTTTCTTGATTTCGTCGTAGAATCTGCTATGTCTTTGTTTTGTTTATGATTCATCGATGCTTCTCGTGTACAACCTCTCTTCCCTACCGAATGTTTGATTGTTTCGTTTGTTGTATTTAGAAGCGTGCGGTCTGGACTCTTGTGGCTCTATTTGATTTTAAAAACCTTCAACTGTCCTGGATTATTATTCTTATCAGCTTTTTAGTTTAATTAATCCGTTAGAATCGATCGCTATCGTTCATTTTTCTTCCATGGCCATAGGGTGAACCGAGTTTCCATCTATTTGGTTTCATCATGTGCGTTGCTGCTACTGCTGCAAGAGCTCTCAAATCGGTTTTACAAGGAATTTTACTTTCTTCCGAAGGGTGAGCAAACTTTTTATGCCTTTGCTTCTGCGTTGCGGTTAATGGCGTAAGTTATGTATATTTACGTGAAGTTCAGAGATTAGACATGAGCGCTGAAAAGTTTTGCAATTTTATTTTAGCGAGAAGCTGAATTCCATGAACCTCCTCCTCTACATGGCTCCTATAGCTGTTGTATTTCTACTCCCGGCATCGCTCATTATGGAAGAAAACGTGGTCGGTATTACCGTGGCCCTTGCCAGAGATGACGTCAAGATAGTTTGGTATCTAATATTCAATTCAGCACTCGCGTACTTCGTGAATTTGACCAACTTTTTGGTCACAAAACACACCAGCGCCCTCACGTTGCAGGTATGGCATGCGTGATACTGTTGACCGGCTATTACCCAACTTTTCGGCTTATCGGAATTTGCTACTTTTGTTTTGCACCATGAAGTTAAATTGGCATAAGTAGACTTACTAGATTATGAACTTTGCATACGAATAGCCGTCGCCGGTAATTCCATGCACACACTCCTTTATTTTAGTATATTCCATGCGCACATTCCTTTATTTTGGTATGATCGGTTCCGATATTCGAACTTGCCATAATTTTAAGCTTTTCGAGATACTGAGGTCTTGGCTCTTGCAGGTTTTAGGAAACGCAAAAGGAGCTGTAGCGGTGGTGGTTTCGATTTTAATTTTTAAGAATCCGATCTCTGTCACCGGAATGCTCGGCTATACTCTCACAGTCTCTGGGGTCATACTCTACAGCGAAGCCAAGAAACGAAACAAATGAAGCCATCATCCGGCGAACACGATACGTGCGTGAACGGCCATAGATTTCGCTTCCATTATCGCAAAGAACATCGACAATGTCCTAAGAGGAAAGTTACGGCAATGCGGTAGCGTATGAAGACATTGATTTTTTTTACCCTAGGTTCTTTTAAATTTCCCCCGGAAAATCCAGGAAACCGGGTTTTCTTCTTTATCGGGTACGGCTGCCGGACTAGTCGAGCACTCGGAAACTCGAATAGGTGACTGATTTGGTCTCTATTTTCCTCATTTTTATGTTTTCTGTTCATTCAGGAAAAGGAAAAAGGTTGAAGAATTGGTCTTCACAGTTTACACAGATTTCTCTGTTATCAACATTTCTAATATTGATTATTAATGAAGAAACCTCATAATTTTACTCATTTTTATTGTTTAATGTGTTGGTCTTTGTCTCTTTATATGCTGGAAATCATGGTACGTGGGATTCATGCATTACACAGAATTTGTCTATCAAAAAGTATTAGGGTAAATTATGTATTTAATACTTAAACTATCAGTTTTAGTATTTAAACTGTTAGTTATGATCCGTTTTAGTACTTAAACTATCAGTTTTGGTCCGTTTTAGTACTTAACTTTTAATTTTTTTGAAAGTCATACCTAATGTTTAGTTTTAGTTTGATTTTAATATTAGGTCATTAAAAATTTAATGCATTTAGTACGTAAATTATCAATTTTGATTCAGTTTAGTGCTTAAACTTTTAAATTTTTTTTTTCAAAACTTAAATTCTGATTGGGTACTAAATGAAACAAAAATTAAACTTTAGGTATGATTTTGGAAAAATTAAAAGTTTAAATATTAAAATAAATTAAAAGTTTTAGTTTAAGTATTAAACGCGTAATTTACCTAAAGTATATTTACTTAAAGTATATTTACCCAAAGTAATAGTTGCCAAAATGAAGCATGCCAAAGTCAGACACATATCTATACTCAAAACTCAACCGAATTCGAGTAATATAAGCTTTCATATGTCCATAATTTAGTAACTTTTATCTTTTTTTTAATGAAACAGTTGATCAACTATTATGTGAGAGAGAAGTACACATTGAGGTACACTGGTGGAATGGTACCTGATGTCAACCAGGTATATCCCATGCTTCTTCTACTGCCACAAAATAGCCCTTGAATTTAGAAAGTTTGGTCAGATTGGTCCCTAAATATTTCTGTAGTCAAACAGGCCCCTAAACTTGATAAGCTTAAACTTATTTTGGGGCCAAATTGACCTCTGAGCTTATAAGTTGCCATAAAAAGTTCAGGGACGATTTTACCAAACTTGACAGAGTTTAGGGACCAAGTTGACCAATCTTATCAAATTCAAGGGTCATTCTAGCGTTTTAAACCTTTTGTCAAATTTAAATGATTTAATTTTTGTTCTTTTTTATCCTAAGATCATTGTAAAAGAGAAGGGTATATTCACAAATGTGGCCTCACCGTCAGCCAAGGCCAAGCTGAGATTGTTGTTTGAGGTTGCACCATTGGGGTTCTTGATTGAGAAAGCCGGCGGTTACAGCAGCGACGGTCAACAATCGGTGCTCGACAAAGTGATCACGAACCTCGACGACAGGACTCAAGTCGCGTACAGTTCGAAAGCCGAGATTATCCGGTTCGAAGAAACTCTATACGGATCGTCCAGGCTCAGTGCAGGGGTCCCTGTTGGAGCTACTGCCTAAATAAACAATGTTTCACTTGCATTTTCTTTTCCTTGTACCTTAATCATGTGGATGAAATAAAAGGCTTGAATTATGATGAAACTTCGGCTTTCGGATTCGAACTCTCGATAGGTTAACGTCGATCGAATAACATCCGGTTTTCGAATAATTATCACACCGAACTATCTAAACAATGCAACTAAATCCGAAAAGATGGAAATTCCAAAGAAACTAAGCCTTGGAATTAGCTCCCATTTGCATAGTATTATTGGTATAATCTAAGGGTGAGCTATTATAAGCATTAGAATTGCAGTCCATCACATAGATCCGAATAACACCATAGCATGGTACGAGTCGTGTTTTGTTCACCCTTCGACTTTATCTCCTTACATGATTAAAGTTTCGACCTTGTTTGCAGGCCGTTGAAATTGGAAACCGGAAATGGCGTGGATCGGTTTGTGGGATAATTGATTCACCTCTAGACAAAGTCTGGACTGTTGCCTCGCAAACGAAAAGATTGTCACAATGGATGCCAGTGGTCGAGCGATGCATGGATTTAGCCGGGACCGAAGGCGTTCCTGCATACGTCCGTCTAGTCTCGGGCTTCATGTTCCCTCGACACGATGGAGAAAGGTCGTGGATTAAAGAGAGGCTGGTCGCAGTGGATCCGATATCACACAGTTATGTTTACAAGATGGAAGCAAGCAATGTGGGATTAGATGGACCTGTGAATTCTTTGAAACTTGTGAATTATGGAGATGGCTCAACGTTGGTCAATTGGTCATTTGAGATAGACCCTTTAGAAGGTCAACTGAGGATAACATCATTGATTATTTAGGGTTTCTCTATAAATCATGCATTAACAAGATCCAAGTTGTCATTGAAATGGGGACGTAAATGAACCGGATTAAAACGAATAGATCGGTGTTCGTGTTATATTCATGTTTGTTAAGAATTTTAAAATTGTATTTATGTTCATTTATTTAAAAGGTATATGTGCTCATGTTTGTTTAGCGTTTATGTTTTGGCCATCCATCTTTTGAAACTTCTAATTTTAAACCTCAATTCGAATCTGATTCGGTTAATCAAATCTATTCAATTTGAACCTAGAAATGATAGATCCGAAATGATATAAATATATAATTACTTGAACTCAAAATGAATCAAACTAGTAGTCCTAAATGACCCAATCTCGAAAGTCAAAACCCAAATATAAGCTCTGAAAAGACTTGAACCTAATCCTAAATTATTCAACGTACAAACCCAAATGACTAAAATCCAATACAACATGAATTTGTAATTGACTCAAACCTGAAGTGATCCAACTCGAAAATTTTGAAATTCTATTCGATCTTAACCCACATATATAACATAAAATGATCAAATTCCTTTTGAGTATTTTTCATATATTCGAAAGAAAGTATTCGAATATGTATTCGAATATGGAAGAATCACATCTTGGATTTCATATAATTAAAACTTCATGGTTGTTCATAAAGTGACAATTTTGTTAGGATGTCAAATGCAAACATTCTTTCGTAAAAATTAAAGTAATAATGGAAAGGCAATGCATAGCCATCTGCACAGCATTTTTTAGGGTTTAAGGTGGTGTATTTAATCCTTCATGATATGCCACCTTTAAAACAAGCATCTTGGTGATTTATTAGTGAGGTAAATTGGGGTTTTCAGGAGGTCAAAAATCTTTTATTAGCCCTTGTATTGTGAAAATTATGATCTTAGTCCTTGTACTCCGATTTAGTCATTTTTTCCTTATTTTTCGGATTTTAAAATTCCGGTCTTGACTCCTAAATAGTTGTTAAACCTATTGAGTCATATTTTGTAATCAATTCATGTTACATGCATGAGTTGTAGATTTAGTTCCTATTATCCAATTTGATCATTTTAAGTCTATGTAATTTAGTCATACTATTCAGATCAAAATTGAAATTTTAAAATTCAACAAGTACATTTGATTAAAATTGATATAATTAAAGTACAAGAACTAAATTCATAACCTATGTATAGTACAGGGACTAATGACCGAATTTGACTAAATTGATTTTCTCATTTGTCCCTTTTTTTATTTAGAATAAACTCCTAAATTATCTTTTTTCTTTTTCGTTTTATCCTAAAATGTAAGACGCCTAATAAGAATATGTCACATGTCATGTTTTAAACTATGAACAAATGAAAGTTTAGGTATCACTTTGACCTAAGGAAACTTTATGGACTAATTTGGAAAATGAGGTATAATTCAAGAGTCAATTTATGAATAAAGCCGAAAAAGGCACTTCTTTCAATTTTGAGTTAATTGCATCATCTGTCCCCAAAATATGAATCTCATTCTAAATTGATCCCTAAAATTTTGAATATTCCAATTTCATCCCCAAACTATGGCTCTTATTCTAAATTGGTCCCTAAACTTTTAAAGCCTCCAATTTCATCCGCAAATTCATCCAAATATGTAATTAATTTTAACCATAATTTAACCTAAACTTTATTTTTGTTCAAACATATAATAATATAACTCGACCTGGCGATTTTGTTAACATGGAATGTGATTAGTATGTACATGTAATTTGGGATGAAATTGAAATGTTAAAAATGTTTGGGGACCAAATTAGAATGAAGATATAGTTTGGGGATGAGACTAAAATGTTCAAAAGCTTGAGGATTAATTTAGAACGATAATCATAGTTTAAGGATGAAATTGGAATGTTAAGAAGTTTAGAGACCAATTTAAAATGAGAACCATAGTTTGAAGATGTATGATGCAATTAACTCCTGATTTTTCTGCTGACCAGGTCATTGATTCATCATATTCGAAAGCCATTTCTCAACTACAAAAAGGACAATCTCTAAACTCCTCAACGTCTTTACTTTTTTACATATGACAATTGCCCACCACCGTATTTGTCTGTTTCATGCACATGTGTATGTAGACTAGCACTCTTCATGAAGGTTGGAGAGTTAGGGGTGAGTATTCGATCGAGTCAAGTTAAGAAAATCAAATTATTCGAGTTGACGAGTCTATTTTACAATCCGAAGTTGACTTGAAAACTTTTCGAGTCGAGTTGAATTCTAGAGTTTATGTTTAAATTAATTGTAAATATTATAATATTATGATATTATTTGATTTCAATTAAATGATTTTTATGACCATATACAATACATATGTATTTCTTTATATATATATCATATAGAGTTGAGGGACTCGACTCAAACTTGAAAATCAACTTACTAATTACTAAAAATTTTGAGTTATTTGAGTTTTATTTTATAACTTGATTTGAACTTGAAATTTTTTGAGTCGATTCGAGTTTATGAAATTACAACTCGAAGTTAATTCAAGTAAATTTGCTCGAGTTGAGTCGATTAAAAAGTATAATTTTTAAATTGAGTGGAGTTTTGCTCACCCTATTTGGGATTATTATAATCCGTATATAATTGATTTAATTTCTTAAATATTTTATTAGTCGAGTCGAGTTTTGCTCACCCTTCCTTTAGCATTCACGAATATGTTCGCTTAATTTTTATTAAAATGTTCATTTAGCGTTCGTGAAAATATTTGTTTAGCGCTCGTTAACACATTCGTTAGCGTTAATTAATATGTTGATTATATGGTTTAAGTCTCTTATCTACCAACACTCCTTTTTACCCATTTATTTGCAGGCTAAAGAAAAATAGTGATATTAGTCCTTAATTTTGTAGACTTCATTTGAATTTCAAAGTTCATATTGTATTCAATTTAGTCCTTATCTTCACCCAACATAAAAAAAATTCACAATCATTTGTTTAACTTAATAATCAAACGTTATAGAAATAATTATGAACAATTTATCAAATACTTTGTTCATTTCACCCGTAATTAAATGTTGCTTATTTTTTTACGCTTGTCCTAGAAATTAAAGATTGGGGACTTAAATGTTGGAGAAAGTTACCGAAATAAAAATCATTAGTGGTGAAGAAGGAAGAGTTTGAGAAAAACAAGGTATATATGTTGTGAGGATGGGAAGTAAGTTTCAGACATTGAAGTATCAGCGGTCGGCAATGGTAACCTTTGAGAACATACCATGACGCTACTTTGTGTATACCCAAGAAAACTAAAAAAAACCTATCAGGTTCTAGCATCTCTTCTTCATTCACCTAACCAGCTAAAACGACATTGCATCAATGGCGATTTGACCGAGAAAATGCTATAAAAGGGCGGTTTGCAGACACCGGTTCGACACAAAAGGAGCGAAAACTATGACTTCTTGGGTTCCGACATTCGTTTATGTCTGTCTTGTTCCCTGCAGCATTGGTAGAGGTAAGATCCGGCATTACCACTTCTCTGTAAGTAAATTCGGTTCCACGGTGGTTCGTAGCCGTATACTCGTTTATGTCGGTTCCGTTTCCGGTGGAAATCATGCGGTCTGTTGGTAGGATACCGTATGGTTTCGGGAATAGGGATCCGATCGTACCGTTGAAGAACATGTCAATGGGACAGTTATGTTTATTGAACATTTTATTTTGTTGGGTCTGTTCAGGTGGTCTTGAAAATGCAACAAAGCTTTGTACGTCGAAGACGATCGTGACGGTGAACGGAAAGTTTCGGGGCCGACTCTTTATGCTCGATGAGGGCGACAATGTTCTAGTGAGGGTCACAATCATGTTCAATACAATGTGACGATCCACTGGTAAGCAAGTTCATCACAGGAGTCCTATAATTAATGTGTCTAAAATTGCAGCTTGAGCTTGAGATTGCAGGCATGGGGTCCGGCAGCTTCGAACCGGTTGGTTGACGGACCGGCATATTAACAGGTCAAAGAGGGACACTCCTTGGCATGCACATATTTTGGCTGAGAGCAACCGTGCATGGTGCCATTGTTATCTTGCCAAAAAAAGGTGTCCCTTATCCGTTTCCGAAACCCGACAAGGAAAAGGTCATCGTATTAGGTGAGTTTCGGACTTTCCGGCACCTCGAAGCTTGTTTTTGCCTGCATGGATTGTGTTCACGAGACTAATATGTTGATATTTACAGGGGAATGGTGGAAAGCAGATACCGAAGCAGTGGTGAGCCAGGCTATG